AAAAAAAAAAAAAAAATTGGCACATGAAAAAAATTGGAGTATTGAATTTATTCAATTTCATTTTGTCAAATGATCCAGATTTTTTTAAGCAGACTATCAATCTGCTTGAGAGTAGACTATACATATATTTAAAAAAAAAAACAAAAACAAAAAAAAAAAAGATCAGGATCCAGGTTCTTTCATTTTGTGCAACCACTTGACGGAAAAAAATTGAGTCCTTTCAAAAACAAAACGCTTTTGGCTAAAAGGAGTGCACTTGTTTCATCAGTTGAGAGTAGACTATACATATATTTAAAAAAAAAAACAAAAACAAAAAAAAAAAAGATCAGGATCCAGGTTCTTTCATTTTGTGCAACCACTTGACGGAAAAAAATTGAGTCCTTTCAAAAACAAAACGCTTTTGGCTAAAAGGAGTGCACTTGTTTCATCAGACATACGCTTTGGCCTAACATGTCCCGAAAAGGCAACCCAGTCATGATTTTTGATTTTTGTGACTGTAAAACACAATTTTTCACTTAACACAAAAACCTACGATGAATTCAAACAAAAATAACCTCGAAAAGAAACATACCGGTAAATTAATAAAAGCCTTTTCATGAAATCTTGGATTTGTTGCCTTGTTAAAAGAGAGCAGTTGCGTACCTGTGTGTGACCTGAGTTCCTCGCAGGCTGGACATGGTTTCCTCCAGGTTCTGGCGCAGGTCCGCAATGTTTTTCACAGTCCGCAAGCGCCTCGTCTCTGGGTCTTCACCTTTGGATCGCAAGCACAGCACATCTTGATTCCAAAACAAAACTGCTGCCGCGGAGAGCGCTCACCAACCTGAAAGGTCCTCGATGGAGGTTTGGTGGTTCTTGCTGAAGGTAACATCCCCGCCTCTTGCTACCGAGCTGGATTCGCTGCTCGCGACTCCCTCGCCATCCGTTTGGGATCTACGGGGACATGTGGAATTGAATGCGCCAAATCCATCATTCTGAATTGCGGCGCGTTTGGGTCCCCGGTATTCCACTCAAGAGGGATAAACCTGATTAAGAGTTAAATCGGCTGCGTTTCCCGTCTTGTGACCGGGCCGCAATATGAGTAGCTTAGTCCCGAATGCCAGTCAAGTTTATCTCTGATAGAGGCATCACACCTTTTGACTTTCACCAGCAGCACTGGCTAGTTATTCTTTCAGACGGGATAATATGGTTGACTAACTTGGCTTGGACACGCCCACCTGCTAATTTTGCTGAAAAAAAAATACTCTAATATGCAGCATTCACAATTATGGTACCGTTCATGGATCATTATTAGATAATTTGGCCACAATATATTGCATGGTATATCAAGAATTCAGAATTTTTCTTTTCAATTCGATCAGATATTCCCAAACGGCGCCGAGGAGCGCGATGATATCTGGTGGCGCTTTTTTACTGGCTGCTGCTGGATGACGTCACTTCGTGCGACACACATTCACAGGACTACAAGTCCCAGACGACTGCTTGAAAATCCTTCTTTCGACTCATCGTGAAATAAATTGAAAGTCGCTTTTGAAAATCAAAGCTATAATTATAGTTCGTTTTAGTTTGGAACTGTAAGCGTTTTTTTTTTTTTTAAACACAAAAAAAATGCATTCACTTCAACTGATCCGTTTCTTTCTCAGTTCAGCCAAAGCCCAGCTGCGCCTCCCACAACGGCGCACGCCGCCTGATTCCAACCGCGTGCATCGGCGAAAATTCCAAAATTAATGGAGCCAGCCAATGCGCATATTTACGCCACGGTGTGCACCAGGCTTGGCTGGGCACGAATATCGAATCCAGGGTTTTCCCTGTATGAGGTCACCTGTACATGAAAGGCGGC